AGAGAATGGAAAAAGTACAGAAGGCAAAGGACCCAGGAAAATAAAGATATTAGTCGAAGAGCCAGAAACGAGTATGCACAGATGAGGAGGGAGGCACAGCCACAGCACGAAAATAACATAGCGTCAAAAGTCAAGTCCAACCCAAAACTGCTGTATAACCAGATCAGGAGGAAGATAACATTCAAGGACTTGGTAATCAGGCTAAGGAACGATGGTGGGGAGCTCACAAGAAACGACCAAGAATTATGTGAGGAGCTCAACACAAGATTTAAGGAAGTATTTACAGTGGAGACAGCAAGGACTCTGGGAAGACAGAACAGAGGGATACACCAACAAGGGATATACTAACAAGTGTTGGATGAAATACACACAACCGAAGAGGTGAAGAAGCTGCTAAGTAACCTTGATACCTCAAAGGCGGTGGTACTGAACAACATCTCTCTGTGGGTCCTTAGAGAGGGAGCAGAGATGCTGTGTGTGCCTCTAACCACAATTTTCAACACATCCCTTGAAACTGGGCAACTACCTGAGGTATGGAAGACAGCAAATGTAGTCCCCATTTTTAAGAAAGGAGACAGAAATGAGGCACTAAACTATAGACCAGTGTCACTGATGTGTATAGTATGCAAACTCATGGAGAAGATTATTAGGAGGAGAGGGTGGAGCACCTGGAACCTGGAACGGAACAAGATTATAAACAACCAGCACGGATTCATGGAAGGCAAATCCTGTGTCACAAACCTACTGGAGTTTTATGACAAGGTAACAGAAGTAAGACATGAGAGAGAGGTGGGTTGATTGCATTTTCTTGGATTGCAAGAAGACCTTTGACACAGTTCCTCTCAAGAGATTAGTGCAGAAGCTAGAGGATCAGGCATGTGTAACAGGAAGGGCACTGCAATGGATCAGAGAATACCTGACAGGGAGGCAACAACGAGTCATGGTACGTGATGAGGTATCACAGTGGGTGACTGTGACGAAAGGGGTCCCACAGGGGTCAGTCCTCGGACCAGTGCTATTTTTGATATGTGTGAATGACATAATGGAAGGGATAGGCTCAGAAATGTCCCTGTTTGCAGATGATGTGAATCTAATGAGGAGAATTAAATCAGATGAGGATCAGGCAGGACTACAGAGAGACCTGGACAGGCTGGACGCATGGTACAGCAACTGGCTCATCAAATTTAACCCCGCCAAATGCAAAGTCATGAAGATCGGGGAAGGGCAAAGAAGACTGCAGACAGAGAATAGGCTAGGCGGCCAAAGACTGCAAACCTTGCTCAAGGAGAAAGATCTTGGGGCGAGTGTAATACTGAGGACGTCTCCGGAAGCACACATCAACCAGATACTTGCTGCAGCATATGGGTGCCTGGCAAACCTGAGAATAGCACTCAGATACCTCAGTAAGGAATTGTTCAAGACTCTGTACAACATGTACGCCAGGCCCATACTGGAATACGCAGCACCAGTTTGGAACCCACACCTGGTCAAGCACGTCAAGAAATTAGAGAAAGTGCAACAGTTTGCAACAAGACCAATCCCAGAGCTAAGGGGATTGTCCAATGAACAAAGGTTAAGGGAAATCGGCCTAATGACACTGGAGGGCAGGAGGGCTAGGGGAGATGTGATAACGACATACAAAATACTGCTAGGAATAGATGAAGTGGACAGAGACAGGATATTCCAGAGATGGGACACAGAAACAATGGTTCACAATTGGAAGTTGAAGACTCAGATGAGTCAAAGGGATGTAAGGAAGTATTTCTTCAGTCATAGAGTTGTCAGGAATTGGAATAGTCTGGCAAGTGATGTAGTCGAGGCAGGAACCATACATAGTTTTAAGAAGAGGTATGATAAAGCTCATGGGGGAGGGAGAGAGGACCTAGTAGCAACCAGTGAAGAGGCAGGGCCAGGAGCTGAGTCTCAACCCCTGCAACCACAATTAAGTGAGTACATACATCCATATACATATACTATATTAATGCCAAGAGTCCTATGGCTAGTATAGCCCTTGGATTGGTATATAGAATCAAAGGCTCACATCCACAGTCTAAATTACACCTATACAAGGCCCTTATATGGCTGCTCATCACATTCTCACCTCTTGTTCTTTTACTAGCTGCTAAGACTAATGTCCTGAGACTAGTGAATTCAGAACCATGCACTGTGCTTGGTGATGGGCATAGTGTGGCATAACTGCAACAAGTAAGTCTCTGTACACCAGGACAGGCACCCTGGCCCTGAATGTCTTCTGGAAAGAGCTTAGTGACAGACAGACTGACTGGAAACCCACCAAGACCTCATGGACAACATATTTTGGCGAAATCATAAGACGGCCACATGCACTCAAAATTTTTTTCAGTCTCTTATATTCCTGCTGCTGCTCCTCTCTATGCCTAATCTCTGACTAATCTTTCTGCCCTGCTCTCTGCAGGGATGGACCATGAAAGATGTCCTTTTTTCTAGCCAGCAATTCCATATTCCTCTCCATCTGTCGATAGTTTTCGAGAAACAGCAAACAGTAACCTCACATATGATACACTGGTGCTGCCTGTTGCTGGTCCTTTGTCACCCGAATCTGGATCACGCTTTGCAGTAGTAAGCTCACACTCAGCACAACAAGCCGCTTTTTTTCCTTTCTACTGTGGCCAACCAACACCATGCAGCTGGGTCTAGCTCCCAGCTTTTTTCCTCAATCTCTCAACCATTCCTCTCCCTCACTTCTCTTCCACTACTCAAATCTTCCTTTCATCCTCATGGGTCTTACCTGGGAGTATCCTGTCCTGTCCTGGAAATAAAACAACAGAGTATAAAATCTGACACCATTTTGATATACATGTACATGACCCATAACGATTCACTCAAAATTTGGACAATATTAATTATTTATTAACATGTTTATGTATTTTATGGGGGAATAATCAATATTCAAAAATTACAGAACATTAAATTCTCTACTGCCAAACTTTGGGATTTTAATTCAAATTTTAACGGTGTCACTGATATAAAACTTTCATAAAATTAATTAATTTTTATTAACATGTTAGGCTTTTCAACGAAGACAGGGGACAAAATCAAAGAAAATCCCAGAAAGCATTAATACTTTCTCTCAACTTTGGATTTATTTCAATCCATGACTGACTATGCACATTTATATATTGTTTTTTACAATGGCGAGAGGTGCCAAAAAAGAAAATCAAAAGAGAATACTCATATCATCAACACTTTCACAATCGCACATTATCACTGTTTGAAGTGCCAGATACACAGTCTGAACATCACAAAAATCACAACATATCCCTCCAAACTGCCAATATCCCAAACCCCTCCTTTAAAGTGCAGGCATTGTACTTCCCATTTCCAGGACTCAAGTCCGACTATATGAAAATAACCGGTTTCCCTGAATCCCTTCACTAAATATTACCCTGCTCACACTCCAACAGATCGTCATGTCCCAAGTACCATTCGTCTCCATTCACTCCTATCTAACACGCTCACGCACGCTTGCTGGAAGTCCAAGCCCCTTGCCCACAAAACCTCCTTTACCCCCTCTCTCCAACCCTTTCGAGGACAACCCCTACCCCGCCTTCCTTCCCCTATAGATTTAATATGCTTTCCATGTCATTCTACTTTGATCCATTCTCTCTAAATGACCAAACCACCTCAACAACCCTCTTCTGCCCTCTGACTAATAGCTTTTATTAACTCCACATCTTTCCTAATTTCCACTTCCGAATTTTCTGCATAATATTTTACACCACACATTGCCCTTAGACAGGACATCTCCACTGCCTCCAACCGTCTCCTCGCTGCTGCATTTACCACCCAAGCTTCACACCCATATAAGAGTGTTGGTACTACTATACTTTCATACATTCCCTTCTTTGCCTCCATAGATAACGTTTTTTGACTCCACATATACCTCAACGCACCACTCACCTTTTTTCCCTCATCAGTTCTATGATTAACCTCATCCTTCATAAATCCATCCGCCGACACGTCAACTCCCAAGTATCTGAAAACATTCACTTCTTCCATCCTCCTCCTCCCCAATTTGATATCCAATTTTTCTTTATCTAAATCATTTGACACCCTCATCACCTTACTCTTTTCTATGTTCACTTTCAACTTTCTACCTTTACACACATTCCTAAACTCATCCACTAACCTTTGCAATTTTTCTTTAGAACCTCCCATAAGCACAGTATCATCAGCAAAAAGTAACTGTGTCAATTCCCATTTTGAATTTGATTCCCCAAAATTTAATCCCACCCCTCTCCCGAACACCCTAGCATTTACTTCCTTTACAACCCCATCTATAAATATATTAAACAACCATGGTGACATTACACATCCCTGTCTAAGACCTACTTTTACCGGGAAGTAGTCTCCCTCTCTTTTACACACCCAAACCTGAGCCTCACTATCCTCATAAAAACTCTTTACAGCATTTAATAACTTACCACCTATTCCATATACTTGCAACGTCCTCCACATTGCTCCTCTATCCACTCTATCATATGCCTTTTCTAAATCCGTAAATGCAATAAAAACTTCCCTACCTTTATCTAAATACTGTTCACATATATGCTTCAATGTAAACACTTGATCTACACATCCCCTACCCACTCTGAAACCTCCTTGCTCATCCGCAATCCTACATTCTGTCTTACCTCTAATTCTTTCAATTATAACCCTACCGTACACTTTTCCTGGTATACTCAGTAAACTTATTCCTCTATAATTTTTACAGTCTCTTTTGTCCCCTTTCCCTTTATATAAAGGGACTATACATGCTCTCCACCAATCCCTAGGTACCTTCCCCTCTTTCATACATTTATTAAACAAAAGTACCAACCACTCCAACACTATATCCCCCCCTGCTTTTAACATTTCTGTCATGATCCCATCAGTTCCAGCTGCTTTACGTTTATATATTTAGCATTATTTTCATTATTTAATATGATTTTTAGTCTTAAAATATTAATATTATATTGCAGGCTGAAGAATTGGGTACCCCAGAAGAGATGCGGAAACGGGCTGACACGATGATACAGAAGGCTCTGATTATGTTTCCTGGTGTACTGGTTCCTCTACTTGATAAATGTAACATTCAGCCAGATCCTGTCGTTGCTAGTCACGCATTCTTTGGTCCAAGAGCACAAATAGAGTATGTTCCTTTTTCATTTACTATGCATACATGTTAATACTTATTGCATTCTTCTTTAACCTTAGCAACTCTTGTTTAGCACATCACTTGTTTCCCCAGCAAGATGGTGATGCTGTTATCCCAGAACACCTTCATAAGATGAAAACTACAGTATACCCTCAATTTCACTGACTTTAGAATTATAGGACCAAAAAATTGCCGAGTCATTTGAACTGGAAACAAATGATAAAGTCCATTGTTTATAGAATTATCTGATAGTTGTTTTTGTCACAACTGCCATCTTGGCTAAGAGAGGGTGATGATGACAGCAAAACAGTGTCATCTCTCTCCACCACAGTCACCATTACTGGCCACCTGTAATGCTGGGTTTACCGTATTTATACTTTGTAGACTTCGTGCAAATTATGGCTGTTTTTCAGAACTAAGATGACCCAACTCTATATGATTGCTTCAACCTATAGTTACTGTAACATCTACATTACATTTATTCATAAATCTCAATAATTCATGAATTATCACTATTTTTCACCCTCCAAGGAAGGGGTTACTTGATACTAGTAAAGGGCTCTTGACTCAAGGAATTAGAGCTTCCTTCCTTTTCCTTGGATCATACCTGATTACTTTCCATTTCCCAGTACTGTATAAGCCAAAGGCTTTAGCACTTACTCTCTAATATAATTACTATTATATTTATTTTGTTATTTCTTATTAACACATCAGCCATTTCCCACCAAGGCAAGGTGACCCAAAAAAGAAGAAACACTTTCATCATCATTCAGTCCATCACTGTCTTGTCAGAAGCTCTTCTACACTACCATTAAAACGCCCCTTTCTTTCAGAACACAGGCACTGTACTTCACACCGCCAGGACTCAAGTCCAGCTTGCTGGTTTCCCTGAATCCCTTCATAAATATTACTTTGCTCATACTCCAACAGCACATCAAGTCATGAAAACCATTTGTCTCCACTCGCTCCTATTTAACACATTCACTCATGGTTGCTGGATGTCCAAGCCTTGTGCACACAAAACCTCCTTTACGTTCCCCTCCTTCCATTCTTAACTAGGACTATAGATTTATACACTATAGATTTATACTATAGATTTATGCACTCTCCAAGTCATTCTATTTCGTTTCATCCTCTCTAAATGTTCGAACCACCTCATCAACCCCTCTTTAGCCCTCTGGCTAATACTTTTAGTAACCCCACACCTAATTTCCAAACTGCAGATTCTCTGCATTATATTTACACCACACATTGCCCTCAGACATGACATCTCCACTGCCTCCAGCCTTCTCCTTGTTGCAACATTCACCACACATGCTTCACACCCATGTAAGAGCATTGGAATGACTGTACTTTAATACATTCCCCTCTTTGCTTCCATGAGTAACATTGTCTCTACAGACTCTTCAGTGCACCACTCACATTTTTCCCCTCATCATTTCTATGATTCACCTCGTCTTTCGTATGTAGTCTCATCTGCTAACAAGTTCACTCCCAAATATCTGAATACATTCACTTCCTCCATACTCCCTTCAATCAAATATCCTATCTTTCATTACCTAAATTTTTTGTTATCCTCATCATCATACTCTTTCCTGTGGCTCGTACGTTGGTTTGCGTGCAGCCAGCAGTAACAGCGTGGTTGATCAGGCTCTGATCCACCAGGAGGCCTGGTCACAGACTGGGCCGCGGGGGCTTTGACCCCTGGAACTCTCTCCAGGTAAACTCCAGGTAAACCTACCAAACTCGTCCACCAGCCTCTGCACCTTCTCTTCAGAATCTCCCAAAAGCACGGTGTCATCAGCGAAAAGAAACTATGACAACTCCCACTTCGTGTTAGATTTTTTATCTTTTAATCCCATGCCTCTTGCCAACACCCGAGCATTCACTTTTACAACCCCATCTATAAATATATTGACCAACCATGGTGACATCACACATCCCTGTCTAAGGCCTACTTTTACTAGGAAATGATCTCCCTGTCTCCTACATACTCTCACCTGAACCTCACTGTCCTTGTAACAACTCTTCACTGCTTTCAGTAACCTACTTCCTAATCCATACATTTGCAACATCTACTACATTGCCCCTCTATTTGCCCTATCATATGCCTTTTCCAAATCCATCAATGCAATAAAAACCTCTTTACCCTTATCTAAATACTGTTCACCTATATGTTTCACTGTAAACACTTGGTCTCCACCCCCCATCCCCCACCCTTCCTAAAGCTTCCTTGTTTATCTGCGATCCTGCTCTCGATCTTACTCATAATTCTTTCAATAATAAGTCTACCATGCACTTTACCAGGTATATCCCGGCATGTTAGTCACCTCTTACGACACGCATGATTTATGGAGGAAGAATTCTCTTCCACTTTCTCATTGAGATAAGAGAAAATAAACAAGAACAACAACTAGTAAGAAAGAAGAAAACCCATAGGGGTTGTATATATATGCTTGTACATGTATGTGTAGTGTGGGCTTAATGTAAGTAGAAGTAGCAAGATGTACCTGAAATCATGCATGTTTGAGACAGAAAAAAAGACACCAGCAATCCTACAATAAAACAATTACAGGCTTTTGTTTTACACACACTTGGCAGGATGGTAGTACAGTGGACCCCCAGTATTCGATGGCATCGGTATCCGATAAATCCTGTATTTGATACATTTTAACGCAAAAATTTTGCCTCTCCACTCGTTAAAAAACCCGCCACACGCGATTCGCCCGAGACGTGTCCACGTGTGGCCTGAACTGCCCAGTGTGTGCCAGTGTTTACAAGCCAGCCAGTGTGCTCGCATCTAAGCATACATTCGGTACATTCCATATTATCACAGTGATTTTGGTGCTTGTTTCTGCAAAATAAGTCACCATGGGCCCCAAGAAAGCTTCTAGTGCCAACCCTGTGGTAAAAAGGGTGAGAATTAGTATGGAAATTAAGAAAGATTTTGAAGGGTTTGGGGCTAACCCTGAGAAGCCTATGCCAGTTGTGGAATCCATTGTGCCTATTTCAAAAATTAAGGAAATGTGTGCAAAGTGGGTTGAACTGCAAACCTTTATGGATGAAAATCACCCTAACACGGCTGTTGCAAGCTGTGCTGGTGACTATTACAATGACAATGTTATGGTCCATTTTAACAATCTTAAAGGAACGGAAGGTACAGAGCTCTATGGACAGATTTGTTGTGCGACAGAGGTCCAGTGACTCTCAAGCTGGTCCTAGTGGCATTAAAAGAAGAAAGGAAGTAACCCCGGAAAAGGACTTGCTACCTCAAGTCCTAATGGAAGGGGATTTCCCTTCTAAACATTAACAACTTCAACACACTCCACTTCTCCCATCCCATCAATCATCACCAGATCTTCATTAAAAGTAAGTGTCATGTATTCTATTGTTAGTAGAGCACTACAAACTGTGCATGTCTTCTTCAGTTTGTGTGCATTAAACTTAATATTTCATGTGGTAAAAAAATTTTTTTTTCATACTTTTGGGTGTCTTGCATGGATTAATTTGATTTCCATTATTTCTTATGGGGAAAATTAATTCGCCTTTCGATAATTTTGGCATATGATGAGCTCTCAGGAACAGATTAATATCGAATACCGGGGGTCCACTGTACCTCCCTGGGTGGTTGCTGTCTATCAACCTGCTTCCCAGGAAGTTTGTGGCTATAGGAGGGTTTGTGGCAGAAGTTTGTGGCTATAGGAGGGAGGGTGCAGGAGGAAAGAGGAGGGATTCGTGGAATGATAAAGTAAAGGGTGTGATAAAAGAGGTTTTTACAAAGCAGAAGTGTTATAAGAAGAGCAGAGTATATGGAAACCAAAAGAAAGGTGAAGAGAGTGCAAAAGGAGAGCAGATGATAGAGTGGGAAAAGCACTGTCAAGAAATTTTGATGAAAATAAGAAAAAAATTGGAGTGAGATGAACAAGAAAGCCTAGGGAATAAATGGATTTGTCAGTTAAAAACAGACTAGGGGAGTTAGTAGATGGGGAGCTGGAGGTATTGGGTAGATGGCGGGAATATTTTGAGGAACTTTTAAATGTTGACGAAGAAAGGGAGGCGGTAATTTCATGCATTGGCCAGGGAGGTATACCATCTTTTAGGAGCGAAGAAGAGCAGGATGTGAGTGTGGGGGAGGTGGCTTGAGGTATTACATAGAATGAAAGGGGGTAAAGCAGCTGGAACTGACGGGATCATGACAGAATGGTTGGTATTTTTGTTTATATAAAGGGAAGGGGACAAAAGAGATTGTAAAAATTATAGAGGAATTAGTTTACTGAGTATACCAGGAAAAGTGTATGGTACGGTTATTATTGAAAGAATTAGAGGTAAGACAGAATGTAGGATTGCATTGAAGCATATATGTGAACAGTATTTAGATAAAAGTAGGGAAGTTTTCATTGCATTTATGGATTTAGAAAAGGCATATGATAGAGTGGATAGGGAAGCAATGTGGCAGATGTTACAAGTATATTGAATAGGTGGTAAGTTACTAAATGCTGTAAAGAGTTTTTATGAGGATAGTGAGGCTCAGGTTAGGGTGTGTAGAAGAGAGGGAGACTACTTCCCAGTAAAAGTAGGTCTTAGACAGGGATGTGTAATGCCACCATGGTGGTTTAACCCTTTCAGGGTCCAAGGCCCAAATCTGGAGTCATGCACCAGTGTCCAAGAATTTTCAAAAAAAAAATTTGTTATTTTTTCTTATGAAATCATAGAGAATCTTTTTGTGAAGGTAATAAAACAAAAAGTACGAAATTTGGTGGAAAATTGACGAAATTATGCTCTCACGAATTTTGATGTGTCAGCGATATTTACGAATCGGCGATTTTGCCGACTTTGACTCCCATTTTAGGCCAATTACATTATTCCAATCAACCAAATTCTTAGCTATTTCACTAGTATTACTTCTATTCTATCGATTGAGCACAAGAAATCGCCAAGTCAACTGTTTCAACTACAAAATAAAGTGATCGGAAATTGTTAATTTGGCCAATTTA